AGTGAACTAATATAACATACAAGTTTCACTTTTTGAAACAAATTATTGAAATAAATGGACTTTCCCTCAATATTCAAATTGTTTGGCACATACCTGTAGATGAAATGAACTGAAATCAGAGCCACTTGTCAAGTCAATGCTTCATGTGTATGGACAAAAAGCTGGTAACAGAAGATACCGTAACACAGACATTAAATGCTTTAGTAATATTTCTGTACTCAGTTTTTGCACACACAGTAGCTCCTCCTGAACACCGCCACCTGGCAGTTCTTCATGTTAGGACACCTCTGCGGCTCTCCTTCCTTTTGGCACAGATCGAAGTGATTTCCTACAGTAGAAATGCTGATAAAATGCTCTTTCTTTTACTCCTAAATGTGTTACCAGAAATCTGTCATTTTGAGAATTTTTGGCCAGTTAGGAGTGAGTTCCTACTCTGAGATGCTTGACAGATATGGTCTCTGGTCTTAAAACTGCAATCTGCTCTGCTTCACTCAGTCTTCTCATTATTCAGACATAGTGAAATATGAGATGGCCTGTTTTTCAGTGCTCAGTACCTCTTCAGCACAGTTTCAGACAGGCTGTGGGTTGTTGTGACTTCCTCATTGAGGTTAGCATTAATATTTGTGCATTGGCTCCAACAAAGTGAGTGAATAGTTTGAAGCACAGTTCATGAGACAGATTTCAGTATCCACATTTAACCTATCGGTCTGAGGTCGGAGCTGTCTCCTTAGCAGACACAGGCCTTTGTATCATTTAAACCACCGATGTTCCTACACACTGTTGTAGTGCTGGTTATATTGGCTAAACAAGTGAAATGATGAAAAACTCTGTTGCATCGTTTGTTCAAATTAACAGTTAAAGTGGGGGTCATACACCAGTACTTTTGTATTAAGGTGCAATACAACCTCAGTGTTGCTGCATTGTCTATCTAGTATGGCTCAGTGGTACAAGTATCCAAAGCAGAGCTTGAATGCTTGGTCACATTCTTTGGTTTGATTATTTATTTTGTGAGGAGATATTTCCTGATCCAAATCAGAAAACTGTACTATATTTTATTTAGTTAAGACACAAGTGCTGACAGTGTTTGAGATTCCCCAAAGTCATGTATGGAAAAATAATTGTTTTGGTGTAGGTATGAGATTCAAGTAAGATATTGGTACTGGTTCCCAGCCCTCACTTAGAATGGTAAAAATCCTTGGAGAACCATTACAGCTACACAACTGGTCTTCCAGTTGAGGTATGAGGTGTTCCTCATAGTGACAGATCCACATAGACTAATCACTCAACACTGCAGTCCCCTAGCTAATAGTGTTCATTCATTAATCAGTAAAAATGATCATGGAAAATAATGGACATATTGCCAGTAATTCAGGAAATGATGTCAGTCCCATATTAGATAAACTCTTGAGTTCCTGAATCTGTTGATAGTTCATATTGTGTTGTGATTGTTCAGTGTGAAAGAAGTGAGTGGGTCTGACCAGGATGTGAAGAGCTACTTGGCTGCCTCACTGATTCTCCAGGGCAACCCTCTTCAGCTCTGGCTCTGCATGACTGAATGATGCCAAAAAGACAGATTCTCTGAAAGTACCACAGTAGCAGCAGCGGGTCCCACGACCATCTGTGGCTCCTTGACCACTGTCAAGATACTCAGAAATATTTGAAGTAACAACTGAAGGTATAAGGAGGGAGCTGCCTATAACTGCAGGTTGTTATTTATTCTAGGAGAATTAGGGGTTTTGTCCTGAACTAATAACATGAAAGAGGGAGGTGTGCAGGGAACTCTGTTCGCAGGTTCATGGTAGTCAATTACTGACTAAAAACCTCAACCAGCATTTGAAGCTTTAATAGGTTTCAGATATGCCACCCTAGTGTGAGAGGTTAAGCCATGTTCCTGTGTCCAGGGGTCAGCAGATTGTGACCTTTAAACAAGAGAGAGAGCATCACAGAAGAAATGAATTAAGTAATACTATTTATAGTACAGTGTAAAAGTTCTAATGTTAAAATACATTACGTTCTTTTCTAAAACATGAGAAAGAATTTAATTGCATTTACAGTTACAGTTTAAAATGTAAATGTATAATGTGATACAAGATAGGTGAGGTTTTATATGTACCACACAAGGTCTGAACATCCAAAATGCAGAAATCTTTAGTGTAGCGGAGAGGCAGGCAGAGCTAGAGAGAACCTGCGATGCATGTCAGCGGTCACACTCAGACTATTTCTGAGGTTATTATTTTAATCAATCTGAAGCAGATATGATGATTTGTGCAGGCCCATAAAGAAACTTAATTTCCTCTACTTTCATAGTCGTCTTAGTCTTAGATCTTGTGGAAAATGAAAGACCTCCATCTTTCAATGTAAACGAAAAATATTTCCCTACCTGAGCTGGGGACAAGGGAAGGAATGTTTAGTACTGTAAATGCTCTCTAACTCCTACTATATATTTTACCTTTCATCATCAACCTTATTTTGAAATCACTGTTCTCTGTTATATCTGAATGGCAGGTAAATGATGTGAAGTTGCAGGCTCAGACTGCAGAGGAGAAGGAGGCTTGGATTAAAGCCCTTTCCGATGGCATCAGTCGAGCAAAGAACAAAGTCTTTGACGAGGTAAACATCTGTGTAATCATCGCGGAGCCGTAAGTGTGTAAATTTCTGTTCAACCACCACTAGATGGTCTGTTGAGACTGAAAACAACCTGACAACATAAGCTGCTCCTTAGAGCTCTTTGCCCCTCCCATCATGTCCTGTTTTCTAGTTACGACATAAACTAGGGATGACTGGTTGCAACCATTGATAGTGTATAAGATGGACATGGTGCCACTACTTCCCTCCACTACAGTATGCAAAGTGAAGCCAAAATATCATGACTACGGCGACTGCCATCTTGCTTTTTTGCAACCAGACTCTGCACAGTAACAACCAGTAGTGGTTGTGACAGACCACCAATCAAAGCTGTCAAATCATCAGAAATACACCCCTTTTTATATCATCAAATACCTTATTAAAAACAAACGTAGGAGAAAAATGACCACTTGTACACATATCAGTGTGATAATATCTGCTAACAACCACAAAAATCACCTCTGGAAAAAAATGTATATGGTTTGTACTTTGAGCTTTTTTGGCTAGGTTGCTAATTTTGTCAAAACAAAACTGTGAGCTTTAGATGCTAAAGAAGGAAGATCTAAAACTGAGTCCTTTGGCTGTTTTTAACACTCTCCATTTCAAAAAGCCAGTCTGATGTTAACCCTGGTCTTTGCTCATTCTTTGTGGCCAATTTACAGACTGTACTTGAGTTTGCCTGCTTTTTGAGTTTATTGTTAAAGGGGCTTAAATCAAAATAGCCACCTTGAAGAAGAGTAAAAACACTAGCAAGTTGCCGAAATCTTTGTGTAAAACGGGCTAGTGTCAGGGAGGGGATTAATATAACTGAGACTGCGTTCTGTCCCATTTTCACTTCATTTATCAGACAATGTGGAAAATCTTAATTAATGCACCTTTACTATTTTTACAGGTGAAAGTTGATGAAAGCAGTAATTTAGAGCATGTTACTCGAACAAGACCCAAAGCGACCCGTAACCGGAGGCCACCAACCAGGATACACATGAAAGAGTTTTGTTTGTGAGAGAGAGAGAGAGAGAGAATGTAACAATCCATTCATCTGTGTGTGTGAAACAGACATTGGGTGATTTTGTGCATAAAGTATTTTCTTTTGGTTGAAAATTTAAAGCTAATTCTCATAATAGTTGCTGTTAAGTATATAAAGTATATTTAATATACCATGTATGTATATATTAGGTAGATTTGACAATATTTGTTAGGAGCCGTTCGCACCTGTCAGTGAGCGAACGAGAAAGAGGTGGACCCAGGTAGCCGACTTCGATGCAAGCAGTGATTTATTATGTACAGTGATGAGGAGAAATAACAAAATGCACAGAGGGAAATAGTACGTAGTCCTGTCGATGAGTAGTAACCGGGTGTTGACCAACAGTAGGAGGTGAGGAGATGGAGAGCTGGGCCGAGCTGCGTAGGCTGGGTCACTCCTGGGCTCGGTGGTGATGGTGGCTACTGAAGGTGGAGACAGAGATGATGACAATAGTAGAACAGATAGGTGACTGAGCATTGACCTGCCTGGGAGGGAAGAGTGGAGCCACGGGCCGGAGGAACAGTCCATCGGGGAAACACAAAACAGTAGCTGGCTAAGGGATAAATACATACAAAACAACGAAAGAGCACGGAGAAAAAA